AACACTAAACCACACGGCACAACAGGGAAATCCCCTTCCCAGCTTCTGTTGAACAGAAATATTCGGGACAAAATACCATCCATAAATGACTTAGTAGCCCAGACAGCGGATGAGGAAGCAAAAGATAAGGACATAGTTAGACAACAAGGAGACAAACAAATTATTACTGTAAAACATGCTACTTGGACATAAGCTAACCACCCGATTCGGACAAGAGGAATTTATGGCGATAGGAAGGAATTCCAATGAAGTAACTGTAACCAATGACAGCGGACAAATTTTCAGACGACAGGGTTGGGACTCTGTAACGCATAGAGATATTTTCTCTATCGCTATTGACGTCTTCTCTCTATTGATTTCGACAAGAGAGAAGAAGACAGCAAGTGCCATAGCGATAGAAATAACGATCTCTATCCGTTACAGAGTTACAGCCCCGGTCACCCACCTACAGAAACTACCCAGAACATCACAATCTGAAGATCAACCAGATACTACCGAATTTAATAAGCCGGATATAATTCCAGATAAACCAACCGCCTGTTCCAGATGAGAAGAAGGCCCAACTCAAATTGAAGAAAATGGAGGGAATGTGGAGACGCAGCGGAGATGAGTAATCTAGCGAATGCGTATCGACCAAGGTGAGAACGATCACGCTATGATGATTGGTGGGGGGAATTGGTGGTCTACCGCTCGAGAGAAGCGGAAGCAAAGAAAATAGTACAAAGTAATTCATATTATATTTAATAAAGATATTGTTATGTTATATTTAGTGTTCTCACAGTAGCACAGATAGGAGGGTGGATCTATTTGCTCGAGTCTGAGTAACTAATATTTGGAAAATTTGTATTAGGTAAGTTACTCAATCATATAAATCCTTGAGCCTGCCTCACGCGACAATGTCTCAAAGCGACCAAAAAATCACACAAAACCGAGCAGAAAACGGCTGAGTGAATATCTCTACATAATGAGAAAAATGTTCCAACAGGAAACATTACCGCCTTTTCAGAGCATTAGGCTGGGAGAACGCCTGCATGAAACAGTGCCAATAAGAAAGATGCTCGAGTAAGGGGTCTAACGGGGCCTGATTGCAGATCATACAGAGTATCCTATCAATTTTAACAAAATTATATTTGAGGGCCATGCAAACATATTCCAGAGGGCAGTTAAATAAAACGGGTTTACAACGAAATAAAGGTACTATGTATGTATGTAAATATGAAAATAAAAGTCTATAAAATAATGGCAAAGGGAATAAAACGGCACCTTAAATATATCGTAAAACGGCCATGTTTCCACTTTTAAATCAACATTTTTATTCCGGACTTTTATGACCCACATAAATAAAGATAAATAGGGGGTGGTATTTCGGGTGAGAGGGTGGGGGGTCATAAAAAATTTAAGCATTTCCAGTTTCCAAGGCAAAAAAGTTTTATTACACTGGGGGGAGATTAAATTTGATTAATATTTCGCCCCCGCTCTTTATTCGTTTTTTTTTTACTTCTTTATTATATCTCGGATATTAGTTGGTATATACTTTTAAACTGCTTTTACTGTTTAATTTTGAGTCATAAATTCGGATTTGATCTACAAATCACAAAAAACAATATGTTACTCGTACCCAAAGAAAAGAACTATATATATTTCTACTAAAATTTGACAATTAGTGACCATTATGTCACTAATAATTGTCAAATTTTATGTAGAATCCTATTCGACCAACTTTTTTTTATATAAACTTGTAGGTATAAAATTATTTGTGAGAATGGAAAGTTGAAAATTCTCAAAAGCTTTTGTCAATGGTAAATATTATGAAAATTGTCATAATTTTAAGATACATCGTTATAATTTGTAATTTCATGGTCCAAAAATGCTGGCAGAAACTTTTTGACTCAAAGGAATTGATAAAAACTGACCAGGAAAAAGGTAGAAGGGTACAAGATGATATTCAAAATAAAAATTACCTATATAATATAGCGAGTTATTTGACGTTAAACATTTTTTGATCTAGAAAAAATAACGTTAAGGTCTCTTATATCAGTTTCTTATGGAATAAATTTTCCCCTTGATAGCTTGATATAAGACATTTCTACAAAGCACCTTTTTGATAAAAAAAAAATTCAGTTGTTAGAACAGTAGCATCATTGAAGCCCATCAAGTGGAAATTAGTGGAGTTAATTCTTTAATAAATTTAATGTAAAATTAATTATCATTAGTAGGATTATTATTATTAATTTGTAAGTTATTTGAATTTCTAATAGAAAAAAATTGTTTTTTAAGCAACTTTTCAGGATATTAATTTTAGCCTTTAAAATTTTTTCTTTGTTTTTCTTTTAATGTTGGATGACATATTTTTGATATTCTATTCTTCATTCCAAGAACTACTAACTTAATTTTATATTTGTTGTTTCAGGATGATATGAAAAGTAATTCATATATCTTTTTGAAGAAATTGGTTAATGTACCAATCTAGCAAAACTTCATTAGCTATCTATGTTTTTTATCAATTTAGTATCTAGAAATGGAACGCTGTTATTAATTTCATTTTAGACTGTTAATTGAATATTAATATCATAATCATCAAAAACATCAATGACCTCTATTGTTGTTTATTAGAAGAAATCCAACAAATTATGTTTTCTTCATATTAAAATAAAAATGGTAATTCAAAAGACAATTTTGGAATGCAATTAGATTTTTTGGAGATAATATCTGTGATGTTAGATCAACGATTATTGTAGCAGATTTCAATTTGAATTGGTTAGTGATTGATATATGTATAGGTTAAGACTATATACCTACCTAGTATAGAGTCGGGGCTTAATCAGTAAGTTACAAAAGAGAGAACGAATAAAGGATGTGAAGGGCCGTTAACTACCGAATTTCTACAGATGTGACGACTGACGAGTACTATTTATTGTTATGTTTTAGATAACTCTAAAACTAGTGACCATTATATTGTAAGTACCTGTTAGGCAGGCCAATGATACATATAGAAATTTGCATCATGCGGTATTCAAACAATTTTATAGAATAAGCCAGGAGAATAGAGTGGATTTTCGGCCATTTGTGCCTGTTTAATTGAAACAAGTAAACATGGCTGAAAATCCTTGGTATAGATGTTTGATATATGAAAAAATCAGAACTACTTCTCCGATTGGATGCTTGGAACGAAGCGAAAATTCAAGCAAAATACATATACACAATGGAGGATTGGAAGAGTTGAGGGTGCTGTGAAACAAAGGGATGAATGGTACGAAAGCTATAAAGTAGATAATTTAGAGTTATCTCATCGTATTATAAAAACAGAGAAGAAATAGTATTGGCAGGTTACTGAAAACGAAGAAAGAGAAATATTTTGAGGCTGTAGTGAATGGTTGCATAAACAAGCCAAGAAAGATGTGAATGATGCTGCAACAAGTTATGCCCATAAATAATAAAAACGGTTTTATCGAGCGTATTGAAATAGTGGAGTACGAGAGTGATAGAATGATAAGAGACTAAAAATGAACATAATATGAAAAGTCTAAAGAATATTGTTGAACAATTTCCAGTTACAGCTGATTTCATCACATTTAAGCTCAATTACCAACAAAAATTAAATAGTACAGTATTTTCTTCCAAAAACAAAGTCCAAATATTGAATTAATGAGAATAAATGATATCTAATCAATTTCTCATGGGAAAGAGGTATTATTGTCCATAATAGGTTGCAGGTTCTAATTGTTGTCCATTGAATAGGGTAATAGATAAATTGATGTTGTGGAAAGTTAACTTGATAACAGTCGGGTAGAAACACACTTGTGAATCAGCCATACAATCTGCAATAGATGTGTGGAAAAATGGCTTAGATAGCAACCATGGTATAATTGAAGTTTTCTTATATCTTCAGAGAGCATTCGACACAATCGATATGCACACATTGGTGTAACAATTGTATAACCAAGACTTCCATCGGAGGATTATGAAAATTATTAACAGTTAGAAAATGAGACTATATTTGCTAGGTAGGGTGATCAGAGTACTAATGAGTATGGTGTTTTCTAGGGTCTCTTGTTTAATAAATTAATGACGGTAAATGCTAGGGGTATATATCCTGTGCTTAATGCACATTTGTTTGCAGATGACACTCTAGTATACTCAGTATCCAAAAATATTTATGAATTGATTAAAAAATACTACCAATGCCTTTGGCTAAATTGCGTAGTTATAGGTTTTCCAATAAATTAAAGATTGATTAAACAAGAACGGTTATTGTGTACCAAAAAAATAGGAAAAGTATTTAGTGAAAAAGAATAATACAGATGTGTTGTGATTGCCCTTCTTGAAAACTAGTTAAACCCAAGTTAATTTTTTTTCATAAAAAACTGGCCTGAAAATTAATTCATCAGAAATTCGGGCTCAAGTTCAAAAGGGCGACATAAAAAAAGCGATAATTAAATCATTGACAACTGAAAAAAAAACGATATACCTACAAAGCAGCGACATTATGTAAACAGCTCGTTACAAAATAGCATCATTCGAAACAATGTGTAACAAAAAGCGACTTTTCAAAATGGCGCATTTTGAGAGGGTGCTGTAAAAATAGCGTCTGCTCAAGCATTGGGGAGGGAGGGAGGGGGTCTTCTATAACACTATTGTCGCAAAAAATATACGAGAAACTATTGATTATGGCAATTTTCATATGCAAATCCAAACCAATTTCAATACGAATTTTAAAAAGTCCCTTCCCAGTTTAAAGCATTTTATCGCCCTTTATTGTTTTGATTCCATCCCCCTCCCAGTGCGTTTGTTTAGGGTGAATGGAATGTTCCAACAACCATTTTTCTTCCTGTTTCCCCTCAAAATCGATCCGTTATTTTAGCTTCGCAAAGTGTTTTCCCCCATTCCTGGACTTTAACTTTCAAAGCCGTACCAAATAAACCTAATTTTGAACCTAACAAAAAAAATATTCAGATCTTCACGGTGAATATCTCAGAAAGGCTACCTATATAGGTACTTACTTTTGTGGTTCATTAGGATCCCTCTTCTTCTTCTTCTTTTGCACTTTAGGTTTTTTCTGAGCCTTTGTTAACCCTGGATCAGTCGGCTCTGGACTAGGTCTTTTTATTGGCGCTAACTGAAACAAAAATACATCATGTATAATAACATTTAAAATATAAATGAGTATATACCCAATATATTTTTACTACCAAGGAAGGACATGGCGATAGCTTAACAGTTTGGTTGAGAAGAGAACTGAACTGTTGATTCAAGAGAATTGTGAAGGAAAAGGTGGTTTAATTGTTGACGTCTAAAGCTAATACAGTTAATTATGATTGAAATTTTTTGGAAGAGGCATACATTTTAGTTTTAAGTGGGGAATATGTTCTATTAATATCCAAATTGTAGGTGCCTAAATCAATATTTCGATTTTCCAATTAAAATAGGGAAGTAAAACAAAAACAAACTCAGTATACCCATAATCAAGAACCGGTAAATAAAACAAAAGCAATTATTATTGTTCAGTTCCTGGAATTAAATTACTAAGATTTATTATTAGAAGTAGATAAGACTTTTATGGGAACTAGAAAATCAATTATTATCTGATGAAACGCAAGGATAGACTTAATAAACAATCTACAAATAGTCGGATATTCGAAATATAGAAATTCATCCTATTTATGTCTTGGAATTTCTGGATGATTTCTGAATTCTGGAACGCCGCTGATGCATAGAAAATATCCATATATGCGGTTTCACATCCACACAATTGAAAAATAATTATATTATGGTAATTTTTAAGTTTTGTTTTTAACTTTGGCTTTTAGCAGTGGCCAATCACAAGGAGATTAATTTTATCCCAAGTTCTGCCCACCAAGAATGGAAATAAACTTGTGCTAATATTCTCTATTCTATTGAGTTTGAGATTTTTTACTAGGTTAGACAGAGTCTCGGGCAGAGTTCCTTAAATATCCAAAGCTTGCAATGAAATCAGTAGGTATGACAATAAGGGATATCTGATCAACAGATGATTTATTAATCTTTGCCAGAGTTCTCCCATATGAGGTAGTATATTTGTACTACTTATCAGCGGATTAGCTTGATATTGAATTTAAAAATATTCATAAGAGTACTTACCATTGCTGGATGTGGCGTACTGTCATCACTATCATCGCTAGTAGTATGTTCTTGTCCGGGTGCAGGAGGACTATTACCTCTTCCCTGAGGATGCTGAGGCGAAGCTCCATACTGGCCCATCGGCCCGGGAGGCGGTTGACCATGACTCATCATCATCTGCTGATGTTGCTGCTGCTGTTGCTGATGGATCATCAAAAGTTGGTTATTATGCTGTTGCTAAAAAAAAGTAAAATATTACTTAGCGTACACATGGAAAAAATCACTAGGGTTTCAGGCCCGCATTGCGCATCAACATTTTCTTGGTGAATTCGCTTTCTGAGGAAAACTGATTAATGGGAAACCAAAAATTCGAATTCGACACAAAACGAACAATTTTTTTTTCCAAGTTCACCCCTACCCTTTCGGCCATTGCAAACCGTCTGCCATTTTTTTTATCTGATTAATTTTTTGATGTTTACCTTTTAATCCAAATGATAGACGATCTAAGATTACGGAAAGCAAACAAAAATTGAATTTCGAAGAGGCAGGTGTTAAGAACACCCTTATTTTCATCAACAAACTGACCTGTTTCAGACCTCCAAAGAGCAGAAACAAAAACTACTGCTCATATCGCTAGAGCGCTAGTTCAAGATTTATGAGGTGCGCATGGGCTACCTTCTGCCAGAAATTGCTGGATGGTCGAACTATTATTTGCTATTCGAGCGAGTTGGGAATTACCTATTTTATACAATTTTTCAGATGCCCCCACCACGATAAGATCGTCCTTTTTTATTTTTAGTCTTCACATCTTAGGGTATAAGGCTATGCTTAGGAGCAGAATCTTAAAGTCCTCACTCGGTAAGGAAACGAGGAAACGGCAACGGTCACTGCAACAAGAGGTTGCCACTCCTATGAACTATAGCTGTCGATGAGTTACTACACGAACTTACCAACAAGGGCTTTGAGGTGCAGGGTCACGCTAATGACCTAGTAACGAGGGGTAAACCGCAGGGGAATTTTGGTATACAGTCTTCAGGAATTAGTAAGAAATTAGTGAAATTAGAGGGGAATTAGAGGAATTATTGGGGACTTAGAGAAATGACTGGGGAATTAGTCAGAAAATTTGGGGAATTATTCGGGAAATTCGGGGAATTAGTAAGAGAATGGTGGAATTAATGGGAAATTATAGAAACCAAATCAGTCAACGTCGCATCACGTAGAACTGCTAGGGATCCAGTGTACAAATCCAATGAAACATAGATGGATTTCATCAATCTGTTCTATATTATTTATTTCATAAGTTTTCTTGAAAGGACATGCATTTATTGCGTTTTTTTTTACGATGAACTGATGCATTTATGATAGAAATGGGGAAAAAAAATGTATTTTCTTTCAGCTAGCGAAATATAAATCTGCTCGTCCAAGAATAAACCCTTTCTCCGTAAAAATATAGAACTGTATAAAGGTACGGTATTCCGATCGAAAATACGGTAATAGATTCTATTAGTTGTGATGCCAATTATATGATGCGTACTTTTGCTTCCAAACCCATTTATTTCCTATGTGAAATTCCAAATTCCGTTAAGAGAATCTTCTAGTAAGTATGTAGAAATAATAAACTAGCTGAGGAACTTTTGGAGAACATAAGTGAAATAGAAACTGTCCAAAAGACTGATGAATCTGTGCCTGATTTAACTCGACTACTCAAAAATTCTACTAGCTCAAACTACGCTGAATAGATTCCTGGACGGCCTGAGTCAACAAGGTACGTTTCCTTCCAATTCGCCACTTCTGCTGAAGCAATCAAGATATACATCCAAAATGGAGTACAAGCAGTATATGCTCGAGTATATGCCTATCTAATACTTGCTCAACCGTTACATGCTGGGACATCGACATACTGTCTGTCCTTATTCGGAACTGATATTTCATTGACTACTGAGCAGGTCACTTTGAGCTGGGAATGGATGAAGGAGAATGCTAAGAAATTTGGCATCACAATTATGGGATTTTCCCTAGGATTTTCGTCGAGACGGATAATCGCCTTCTAGGAGATATACATTTAAACTCGCATTTAAATGATGATTTGATGTCTCGTTAAGCTCCTGAATAAAAAGAAAAAACCAAACAATCCCAGAAGATACAGAACTACTCCATTCTTTGCCAGTTACAGATTGGGAGTGGTACCACTGCAGCAGTGAAAAAAAATGGAGAATGATGTACAAGACACCACACATATTTGAACAAATATGCGTACCTACTCGTTTCCTAAAACCTGATGGAATAAAAATGCCAGAACAAAAACTACCATATAAAGAAGAAATTCTCAATTTGGATATCAGAGCTATAGTCGGGCCACCGAATAGAGATAGTAATAAGAAGATTACCTGGTAACTAACCCCCATAAATTATCCCAACACCCTCTTAAAAGCAGACATTCTCATAGTGGAGCGCATTTGAAACTGATGTTGTTTGTCTTTCATTTATTTGTTTTAACTCAAAATAATTTAGTAAGTAATTAGAATGTGAATGTTAAATGAAACCCTTTATGCATATTGCCTCATGAAATATGAATTCATGCATTTAATAAATTTTATTTATTATAAGAAGGTATAAATTAGGTATAAATCCTCTCGTCTATTGCCTGTCAGGCCTCTCGGAGGTTGAATGCTCGGTTTTATTACTATCCGTGTTCGGTGGCCCAACTATACCTACAGTTGAAGAAACTCTACAAAATGTCATAGAGGATATGAGACAATTCGGTCACAATGCTAAAGAAAGCGATTGGAGATATATTATGCAGGTACCTTCAATAAACCGAACACAAAATATCGGATATTCACAGTAAAACATAGAGATCGAGGAAGGCGACGTTGAAGTTGAGGAAAACCTTGAAGAAAATGAAAATGACTAAGATGTGGCAAACATAAGGGATGTTAGTAATGAGGGCGATTAGGGCGATATAGTCATAGAATTAATTTCAAAAAAAAAATCTTGGAAATTTCTCATGAAGATCGCGAATATGATACTTTGGAAACAAGTTGTATAAACTTCAACGTGGTTGGTAAAAATTCTTCAATCATTGAAAAGTCATTGTGCAGGTGGCTTTAAGATCAGTCTAACGGAAGAGTAAGTAGGTACTGACCCATTAAACAGATTTATAGGCAGTACAAGGAAAACATTGAAGAAATCACCTTCCAAAAACTCCAACCTTGGATATGAAAAGGACTAAACCACCGACTAAACAAAAGCTACTCATGTATTTTTTTTCCCAGCTTTTCTAGACTTCTTTATTTTAACATGAAAAAGTGCAAACATCTAGGTATTCTTGATTTATTCTACACCATTTTGTGACCAAATTTTTGTGATAGATTTGGTGAATTAGTTGAGAATTAGTAAAATTAGGGGAATAAGAAAGGAATTAGTTGGAAATTCGAAATATCAGGGAAATTAGAATGGAATTAGGGTTAGAAGGGAATTAGAGGAATTAGTTACCATCCTGGGAATTAGTGTACACATTTTTCTCAGCGGTTTACCCGAGGGTTTACCCCTCGCCTAGTAATCACTATCAAAAAAATGGGGCTGGCTGAAGCTGACACATGCAGATTCTGCTCACATGCCGCAGTAAAAGTGCTTTCTAAACGACGTGTGCTGACCGGGGGTTTAGGGCTAACTAGCGGCTCATTGACTAGTTAGCGGCGTTAAATGCGGCCATTTTTGGACCATCCATCATGAAATTACCGAAGTGCCAAATAAAATGCAGAAATGAAGAGGTTTGCAAATTATATCAATAATTAATTCAGAAACAAATGGTTGAAGTAGAACCAGCTTTACCTGTTGACTTGGAGACATCGAATAGTTGGGTTGAGGACTATGATATTGCTGGCCCACCATCCCATGTTCTGGCCCAGAAAGGTAGAGGGGTTGCTGGTAACCTCCCGTTGGATCGTGCATTCCCATTGCGTCTTGTTGTTGGTTCATTTGTTGATTCATCTGCTGCATACCCTAGAAGAAAATAGGATGTGTAAGAACTGAGAGAAGATATAACTCTAAACAATGATATATAAAGCAAACTTTAGTAACTAGAGCAAATCTGAGTAACATTGTATTTGTGTTGCAAAAGAATTGCTAGATGAACCAAAAGTATGTTTGCGAATTTTACTATGGGAGATACATTTCGAATACGTCATAAGAGGCATCATATACTCGAAGCGCGTCTGTAATTGGATTTGCAGCGAAAACTGGGGAATTGGTTTGCCATGTTTTGAATCGCAAATTTGTATTTAATGTTGTGATTTCTTGTTTCCGGTTTTTAGCTAATGGATAAAGGTTATTAGTGTTTGCCAAGGTTTCCAAAATATTGGTTCATTTGTCGTATGCTGCAAAAGTTGAATATCTCCGTTCTTCACATACTAATAGAAATGTACTACTACTAAAAAAATGCGAAAGTTACTCAAAGTAAGTTCGACTACTACAGAATACATTGAACCAGCGGAGCCCAACGTCAGCTACTGGAATAAGCGAACCTCCATCATCAGGCATTGCATCCACGAACCTAGATACTCGCATTACTTGAGTGTTCCTTTCAGGTGGAACCTCTCTCGCGAACTTTGCCGACCGAGACTAGGATCGTTCGGTACTTTCCTCCTCAATGTCTGCCAGGAGTTGGTCTATATAGTAGACATAACCGCTGAATACAGTGTATTAGTTGACAATAAAGTGCGCGCTTATTCTTTTATGAAATATTAACTTTCTATTTTTTAATATTTTTTAGTGCAGTTCGGTTAGTACTGGATACATTGTACTGGTTCATAACCGAGTTTCGGACTGCGTGCCATCGCTATATTTTTGACCACACTTCATCAACAAAGGGATCACCATTTCACTGATTTTATGGTAGCAACAATCCCAACTTGTAAAATATTTAGGACATACTCTGATGTAGCCACTGGTATTGGTTTTCCCATGAGGAAAACCTTTTTCGATGCCTTCCTTCCATAGCGTCGGTTATGTTCAACTAGTTTTACGGTTTTTGTTAGATTCTATCTTTTCTTTTACGAGAATGGCAGTCATAAACACAACAATTATACGTTTAGTACGTTTGTGTCTTAGTTTCAGACGTGATTGGCTCTCCAGATGGCATATTGTAGGAAGCTGATTTGTTTTGGAGACACTACATGCTGTTTTTTGTAAAATTACACCGCTATGCCATTGCTTAGTTCTTCAATTTTGCAAGCGCCGCTCCCATGATTTCCAAAAGACAAGATCAACCGTGTCATGCCGGTAGGCGATTACCTGCTTTGACAGCATACATTCCTTGCCACCAGTTATGTAATTGATCTTTGGATTTTCGAATAAGACCATATAGCACAAACCAATAGAAGTGGGACCTGTGTTAAACGTGAGCAATTAAATTTGACGTGGGGTAGGCGCCACCAGCGGTCCTGGCAGCTATTGCATATAGCGCGAAATTTAAATAGAAATCTTATGCATTTAAAATTTCAAATTCGGCTATTCTTACTTTTTGGGCAATTTAGTAGCTTATATGGTTTCCAAATTTCAGGACAAATATCAAAAAAAGACGGAATAACCACGCAGATTAATGAATTTGTATCCATAAAAAAAATACAACAGGCTATCTTCTACCTATATTTTCACGTTTTGAAAGAGTTGAAGCAACTGTAGTTGTTCCAAGTACAAACTGTGAATGAAACAGTTAAAACTAAACTACCCTGTCCGTAAACGAGTGTTTATGACAGCAAAAGGTGCATTTTTTAAAAAATGCAAAAGGGCTGTTTCGAGGGCTGTTTTGAGGAGCGGCGTGTACTTCACATTCCCGGCCTATACATTAAATAAAATTTCAGGTTCTTTTTAAAAGTTCAAATGGTACGGAAGAAAAATCACAATCAGTGTTTGGACGCCTTTTTATTTTTGCAGTCAAATTTTTTTCAGGCTACTGGTTTCCTAGTACAACAGCTACGGCTACAAGTATATATCAGGTTGAAATAATATGCCATCCTTTGACCCTAATGCACAAGCAAAATTACTCTTTGAATAAAGGTTAGAAAGTGGGGGAGACTGGGGAGCAAATATCCCTGTCTGATTCCTATTTTAATTTTATTCTTGGTTTATAACCTCGCCTTCTTTGTAAGAGCTTCAAACACGCAGGCCTAAGATCTTTTATTGAATTAGAATAATTTACGTAAAATGTCTTCAGATTTCGCAATAAAATCTGAAAATACAAGGAAGGCAAGGAAAAATAACAAAATCACTACTTTTTAATCGACTCCTTTAGGAGTTTGGCCATAAAAAAATCACAATTCGTTCTGGAGCAATGCGAGTTGGGAAAATGTAATTCCATCCGAATATCGTTGAATATTGCCAACATTTTCAAACTATTGAATGTACCTATGTGAATCGATTAGCGGTTATTATTCGAGTAGGTCCAGCGAGTCGATGGTAATTAGGAGGTGACAAAAAAATACCAACATGTAGGTATCTAGTGAAAGAATTACCTGCATTGGAGGTTGATAATGTGGTTGATCATTGTGCCCCTGTTGGCCGTGTTGCTGCTGTTGCTGCTGCTGTTGCTGTTGATGATTTATGTTCGGTATATCAAATTCCTCATCTCCGAAGCTTGGGGTGTGAAATGTCTGAAACAACATAAAGCATTTTAGTGAAATGTTAGATACATGATAATTTGAGGCTTATATTGACTTGATGCTGAACGCATTTTACTACACTCCTACAATAAATTAAATCAACGAATGTTACATTGTGAATTATTAAATTAGTGGAATAATGGGAGGTTTATAAGTAATTCCATCCACCACGCGTTCTTTCTTTTGTTACGTTAGCTTTCGAGGAAGGCTTTAAATTAAATTTTATTAGTCCAGAGGCGATGAATTACGTTAAAGTGCGCCATTATGTAAATTTATTTGCATTTTACCTGGTTTTAAATCTTGTGGCCGACAGTTGCAAATTATTCCTTTGGATCCGAGCAAAAGTACCTACCTCCTTGTGTTGTAAGTGATTATTTGTTTGAAATAGTAGTTGTCTGAATGTAGCCGAAAATAGAAACAGATACCCAGTAATAGTATATTTGTTTTTTTTTACAAAAATGGTACATTAATTGAAGCAATCCTCGACATAGCCTACTAAAACAACAGGGTCTTTCATAATCATAATATAAGAGACTGATTAAGCCGATACTTGATGGAAATACATTACAAATTTTCAAAAGAAACAAAAAAGTTTCTAGATTCTCACAATTTTAGTTACATGATGAACGAATTGAAGGCTGCTATTTTATGAGAGTATGGATGATTGGATTTATTTTGTATGACATCGGTGTGAAAAATTAAAAAAATCGTGAATATCGTTTTTATTGGTTTTGGTTAAATCTATAAAGTTGAAATAAAATTGCGGATATCTAGAAACTTTTTTGTTTCCTTCTAAAACTTTTAATCACAATATTCGCATAAAGACAACTAATTGATCTGCCCCCTGATTCTATTTTACGAGTCGAGTCGAATTGTCTCGATATCGAATACGACAGCTCCGGACGTACCGTGTAATACGTATCGAAAAATAGAATCGCTATTTCGACAATTCGATACAAATTTCGACTCGACTCGTAAAATAGAATCCGGCAGCTGGTTCTTCAATGTTATAATTAATTTATTTAACTACACGAAACATTAACAAAAATATACACGACACAAACCGAATATCCTCCGATCTTGACAACGCGTAATTCCGGACGGCATGCGGCGCTCTGTGTGGTCTCGAAACACACATTTCTGTCGGTTTTAATACTGTTTATAACATTGTTTCGACTTTAAATTAAAGCCATTCGGATGCCGAGAATTGGCGGGATTCTTCGACGAAGTAACCACAACGATACATTATGCTATAATCGATGAGTGACCTTCCACAAAACTTGGGGGAATGTCTACTATTCATGTTGGGATGACTGATTATGGTCCATTTTTTTCTTGGAAGCGGATGAATTTTTAAAATTATTGAGATTTCGTTATTATTCGTCTGATACTCGGTCTGATATATGCTTGGAAGGTAAGTATATTAAAAAGTTCTCATACTTGTCGCAGCAAAAATATTCTAGTAATTAACAGTAACAACTACATACATGATAACTAATATATGCTCTTCAATACCTCAGCAGTTTTACAATTTTACCAACATAAATGCTATTTCATTATTATCGTTTTCCCTTTACTTATGAGGCTAAATGGGCTCAGATTTTGCCTTCTCACTATGATAGTAATTATCTGCAATAGAGGCGGATATATTTTTTAAGTTTTCTTTAGGAAATAACTCTCTTCTCTATTCTATACACAGGCGCAGTACATTTCGTTTTGTTGCATTCTAAATATTTTTTTATTACCTCCAAGCTGCCATACATCTCTTCGTTTCTCGATTCTTTGGGAGGTTTATATAACTTCTGGTAGGTATATACATTCTCTATTTACCCTAATGTTTTTATTGTATTGATTGAACTTCAACATTATTTCGTCAATTTGCTTGATTAGGCTTCTGTATCTCAATGTCTACTTTTTACCAATTTTCATACACCTTCCGAGAAGTCTATTTTCAACATAAGCAGTTCTGAACTTCGTTGACCAGTCAGAAACAACGACTCCGAGGGCAAATACCCCTACCGGCGTTGAACTACACTGATCGGTCTGAGCTTTCGTTGGCAATGGAAATTGTTAGAAAGATTTTTTCAGATACCTAATGAAAAAAAAAAAAAAAAAAAATCTTTCTAACAATAAGCAGTTTTCTTCCCAATTTTGTTTAAAGAGAAAAACGATTTTGAAAATTTGTAGTTTTGTTATTTTCTTATGAATTTTTCCATTCGCATTGAAAAAATCCAAAAGACGATTCTAGAACTCTTATGTATGTACACCAAATGCGAGAAAAAATAAATGACGTGTTATTCACTTATTTGAACAGTTTAAACTCGAGTTTAGGGTAGGCACCTGTATGCTCAATTGTTCCAAATTCAAACTTTCCATTCTATGAAGTTGAATTAGATTTAGGATTTGTTAGAGGACAGTATTCTCCGAATGTTTATTTTCTACATACAACAATAACGCAGGCATATCCTTTAGAGTCCCATCATATCCGACAGATGGCAAAAAGACTGGAAAAACACAGCAACAAAAAAACGTGAAAAAATCCAGAGACACTGGTAGAAATATACAAAATAGACCAATAATAGATTTTTCCATTTAAAAAAAACTGACAAAGATGGAATTTGGAAAAGAAAATTTTTTTAGAGCCAAATTATGGACCGACTGGTAACGTCTCTGGTAAATTTACCCTGCTGGTAAAACTGAAAATTGAATGCAATTTTTAGCTTTACTAGCAGGATAAATTTGCCAATAATGTTACCAGCCGGTCCATAATTTGGCCGTTAGAGGTAGTTTTACTACGAACCATCCCGATCCAATCTATAGTTCATATTTCTCTCGATATTTCTTCATTTGCCTTAGGAATAACAGAACATTTATCAAATTGGGGCTAATTTTATCAGAAAAGGAATTATTGACCAGAACAGTTGAGGAAACCAGGAAATTGACAAACACTTTCAATTGACCGCTTGGTGTGCAGATCTTGGAAAAGTATCTAGTAGCTCTGTACCTGCTATCTATTTAGATTGTTAGGTTACTTGGAATGTTCCTAATATCAGAAAGACAGGATATTTTGTGTGTAATATCAAAAAGCACCATAGTATATTTAAAAGTAAATAAATAAAAGTGTTTCCTGATAATGGACCTTATCTATACTTCAAAAAAATAAAGAATAAATCTGCCCAAAAAGCAAAACTGCCGATTCGTCATTATCCAATATCCTTGACCGATAAGAATATAGTATTTAGACCTGCGATTGATCCTGAGCGAGGTCCTGAGTATAATTTATTGATTTATAAGAAATCCGAAATGCAATGTAGTAAATTATAGATTTTCTAAAATATTATGCTCACAGTAGTCCGAAATAGGGAATTGAGTTTGAATTGCTTTGGAGCAGAAGTTTACGAGTAGAATAGCCAATCAGTTTCGATATTTTTTTTTGCAATTTGATACACGAACGCCCTTTTTGGCGTCATTCCACATTTATTTAGAGAATTGGATAGAAAAAATAAAATAACAACTCCCAACCATAACCAAAATAAAGGATTGTTTAAAAACCAACCATGTACCTACAATAAAAATGTTCAAGCAGAGCTAAAAATCTATTCTCTCTGAAATATGTCGTCAAGCTGCTTGGAACAGTTAAAGCATAAAAAAAAAAAAAAATATGTGCATAACAGAATCAGTATTTAGCAGCAGTTTTTATAATCCTATTGTAGATCTATTGAAGATTGCATATTATTAAGTTATAGGTTTAGGAATAAAATAACTGTTGTTAAAACTCGAAAGTTTAAAGGGTAACCAGCCCTGCCCCTTTTTTTTTCTGTATAGTTATTGCAATCTAGAGAACTAGAAAAATAGTAAATATACCTCGAAATATACCTAACAAGGATTTCAAAATCAAAATAAATGGCCAAACATTCAAAAAAGTTAACAAAACCCCCACTAATAATATCACAGGGTCTGTTCTGACATTGAATCTCCTCTTTTTTCTAGGACAAGAAGCTGCCAGACGAACAAACATATCAGTTTTCGGTTTTTGCCAAAACTGAATGCTGATCCTTGGGTGTTGCAACAACAAAAGCGGGACAAATGAAAATCCATAAATGTTTTACAATAGGGCTAGCAGAAACTTGAGTCAATCAAAAGCAATTTCATGTCATTACTATGCAAATAAGTCTCCAATTAAAACTGCCAAGGGGTTATGATCAAGGACAGCAAAGAAAATTATTACAACATGATATTTAAGGTCAAACGCTTTAATACTCTCGACATGCCCAGTTTGCGATTTTTTTGTTAGAACATAACAATGTAACCACTAGGGATAGTTGAATTAGGATAAATATGAGCTAAATAGATACCTATTTAGTTATTTTAGAATGCAAGCCAAAATGTATCCCAAGAGACACAAACCTATTCAAAATTGTATAGTACCCCGACCTTGTCTCCTAAAAGTTACATCAAGCGCAAAGGGGAAATTCGAAACATCAAAACTTCCAAGTGTCCCAATAAATTTTATATAGTGTGTCTGTTTACGTTTTTCTCGGATATTCTAAATGGAAAACTTATTATGTAAAATGGGAAAAGTTTTCTTGGAAAACATCCATTTGGATGAATGTTTCTGTAAATACGTTTTCTATGCTTAATATTATTCTCGAGTCTCGACATAATACAGAAAGGGCAAAATGAGTTCTTGGCCAAATTAAAAACACGTTCGGATGGTTTTCAAATAGCTGGAGCTTGAGAATGTTATAGCAAAGTCCTGACAATATAAAACTCAATTTTCCGACGAAATAAAAAAAAAAAACCTTAAGCTATATACTAAAAATAAATCATATTTGCGTTCTTTATTTCCCATAATTCTTCAGTATGTACACTCTGTAGATACAATGATAGATAATGCAAACAATGAAGAGATGAATACCCTGGGTCAACGGCCATGCTCAAGGTGACTCTTGAACGCATATACATCATATTTACCACAAAAAAAGAATATA